TCTCCATCTGCAACGTCAGGACAGGAAGACATGATGGCTGTTAGGATGATAAACAGAAAGTCTTCTCCAAAGCCACAATAATCTACTAAAGACTTGATAACAAACTTCTCTTGCTAGGTTACAACAGCAAAAGATCATTTCTATTGCAGCCCTGGTTCTAAATCCTAAACAGTAACGGTCCAAAATGTATGACAAGTAACCCTAAATGACAGTCCGATTGAAAGCAGCTGTTTACTGTCGTACCTGTGTTTATTTTACTGATCAACAACATAAGCAAGGCATTGGCCTGTTGCGACTCTGGCTTCCTTTGAGAGTTGCCCAACATTTCTGAGTCCAACTGTCTTTCTGGTTCTGTTGGTTGACCACAGCCAAGAAGGAAAACTATGCATCTGAATGGATTTTTCTGGGTTGGTCTCTCAGCTGTTTTCCTTCTACTTCTAGGGGACACCTGAAGGGAACCTCATCTTCAAGTCCCTCACTGGTCCAAGAATAAAAACTCTAAGTTCTCATTGGGTCGGACAGATCTTCTTGTAGAACTCTGTTGTTGGTCCTATTTATGCAGAACCAGAACAGATTGCAGCATGTAGCCTATAGATATTGTGATGTAGAAGTCCCTTAAACCAGTCACCCTGACTGGTTACAGTCTGTCCCTCCATATCTGGGTGGCTGCATTTAGGTTCCTTCAGGTTCTTTGCAGCTATAAAGCCACTAAGAACCAGGAGTGGAAGTCCACATTGTAATGACTCTTCTTTTCTCCGACTAATGTTGGACTCCAGGTTCTGTTCTGGGTTCTGTTCATCCAGTCGGACTTAGAGACTGGTTATTTGGAGCTAACCTTTCATTCCAGAACCAGGAGGTTTCACTGCAGATACTGTTCCTGCCAGAAACAGTATCTTCTCCTCTGTCACCAACCAATCAGACCTTTTCATTGAACCCAATAAAAACATCCAACTTTTTTCTCATCAGGATATGAGGTCCATCCTAGATTCCAAGCAAAACATGGGCTTTTTATCTGACACTTGATCAGGTTCTGCTGCAGCTCCAGAGCACGCTGGACTGTTTCAGGACAGTAGGAGGACTGTACAAAGGGTTAGCGGGGTCAGATCTGCTCCCAGAAATAACCTCTGGAACAAAAGCATGGGCTTAACAACATAATGGAGGCCTTTCAACACATGGCTCAGCAGTGCAGCAGGCTGCGGCTTGCTTCAGAACCAGAATATGACAGGGAGAGGAGTCAGGGAGATATAGAGAGCCTCCGTGGTACAGCGGCCTGCAGCAGACACAATACAAACACCATGCACACATTCCTCTGTGAGCCACACGCTCAGCTTCTCCTCCTCAGACACTGAGTTAGAGATTACTGACACCACAGCTCTCTTCCTTTCTGTTCATCCACCGCAGGACCACTGAACCTACTGATGCTTCCCCACCTTGTTTTCTGGGCCGTGAATGAGCACAGAAAAGGGCTGGACCTTCCCATGAGGGTCAGCATGTGTGCATGTATTAGCAGTAAATCATTTTCATTTCCAGCTCTTGGCCGTGAAGCAGAGGTTGGCTCAGCGTGGCATACTAATGGCCGCCTGTCTCAGTCCGCCAGCCAGCGTGTGTCCCTCTGCTGTGGTGCCATCTTTACACAGACCATGTTTCTTTTCTCACAGCATCAACAGTGAAATGTTCTCCTGACAACCAGAATCAGGTTCAAACCAAGATCTGGAGCTTTGATTTGATCGACATTTGCCAACATTTATAGTAACTGTTGAAATCAAATGTCAAAGATGTAACAGGAGCGCCGCCCCTCTGAAGTCGCTACCCTGCGTGGGTCCCATTTAACTTGTTGTTGCCAGTGGTAACAGCCGCATAAGGCTAAACACAGCACTTCTCAGATGAAAGCTATGCTAAATAGGAACCAAATCCCTCCGGAGAGGTCTGTGCTTGCTGGACCGAGGCAAACTACCTTTCCTATGATTCAGAAGAGGCTGATCGCAGTGACCTCCTTTTCCTGCGATTCAAACCAAGTTGAACGCAGTGCTTCATGAACCCACCTGCTAAAGCTGAGGAGACAGCACTTTCCAGCTCTGGTAGACCTACACCTAAGCCTAGATTATACGATTTTTTTTTTTTTGCCGTTTTCAGTCCGATTCTCCAATCGGGCAAGAATTTTTCGCTCGGTCCGACTTTTGGCCTGACTGTGCATCGTGTATTGTTTAGGGGGTAACAAGGGGCAAGCAGCCTCTCACCACCACCTCCCTATGAGGAATCGTATGGTTGGGAGAAAATCAAACATGTTTGAAGTCGGCCGCAAGTTAGCTGTCGTGAGATTGCATCAGAGCGTGGGAACATACATTGTGAGTTGTGAACTTTTAAACCCTGCAGTTTCGTCATACAGTTTGAGCTGTAGCTGCGAGCAACGATTGAAACTGT